TATTTATTTGACAGAGACACAGCGAGAGAGGGAACACAAGCATGGGGAATGGGAGAGGGAGAAGCAGGTTTCCCGTCGAGCAGGGAGCCCAACGCAGGGCTGGATCCCAGGACCCTGCGATCATGACCTGAGCCGAAGGCAGGCACTTAATGACTGAGCCACCCAGGCGCCCCCGGGGGGTCCTATTATTATCCTCATTTTGCAGATAAGGAAACTGAGGCAGGGAGAGGTTAGTAAGTCTCCTAGGACCAAACAGCTAGCATGTGAAGACACTGAAATGGGCTTTGCACCCCGGCAGGCTAACTCCAGAGCCCACCCCCTTAGTCCCTGTGGCACTCCAAGGAGCCAGTGACTGGACTGGTGGTGGGACTGGGGGCTGCCTGGCTGGCCACCTAGGTGTCTGAAGTCCTCCCGAGTCACCCTGCCCATCCTCTGTCAGTCACCGGAGGCCGGCTGTGGCCCACACCCATCCACGCATCGTAATGCATCCAGACCACGCTTTCCAGGCTGCAGTGAGCTTTCCAGACACCAGCCCCTCCACCTGCGGATGATCTCTCCAGTTCCATCCTTAGTTTTCTCCCTCCTATGACTCACTTCAAGCTTAGGGCCCAGGAACTTACCCCTGGTCTGCTCACCCAGGAACCAGGTCCACAGCCAAGCCTCAGGCCCTCTGTTGGTGCCGCCGGCCCCCGCCCCGTGCTCCCACCTGCTGGAAGAGGCGTCACTGCCCGCTCCCTGAAGCCAGCGCAGTGTGCCCCTGCCCCAGTGAAACATCTGTGTCCTATTCCTTTTTGGGAACAAGTTGTGCTTGAAGGCCCAGGGCGGGGGCTGAAGGGAAGGCTGGCCATTTTCTGTGCTGTGCTGTGTGCCCCAAACCAACGGTACTCATTAAACCCACAGCTCTTGCTTATTTTACTTTTAAAGAATAATAACTAGGGTGGCTTTGTATTTGCTCAGCCCAAAAGACCTCTCCTCCCACCCCTTGCATCCAAATCTGCCTTCGTTTTGCCCCATGAGAGCATTCTTTTTAAAAAACAACAACAAAGCCCTTGGAGAATCAAGATATTATTGCTATGCAATAAAATCCACTCCTCTTAAGTGTACCATCTGATGAATGCCAGGAGACGTATACAGTCGTGTGACCACTACAGCAGAGGGGGTGAATGTTTCTACACTGGAAAAAGCTTCCTTGGGCCCCTGACTGGGCAGTCTCCTGAGCTGCAGCTCCAGGCAGCCACTGATCCACTTTCTGTCACTCGAGTTTGTTTTCTAGAATCTCTAAGAATGGAGTCCTAGCATGCAGTCTTTGACTTCTTGTAGTGTTTGACTTCTTTCATTTAGCATAGTGCTTTTGAGGTTCCTCCATGTTATTGCATTTATTCGTATTTTATTTTATTTTTTTAAAGATTTTACTTATTTATTTAACAGAGAGAGACACAACGAGAGAGGGAACATAAGGAGGGGGAGTGGGAGAGGGAGAAGCAGGCTTCCCGCTGAGCAGGGAACCCGACGTGGGGCTCGATCCCAGGACCCTGGACCATGACCTGAGCTGAATGCAGACGCTTAACAACTGAGCCACCCAGGCGCTCCTATTCATATTTTAGTCCATCTGATTGCCAGGGAACTTTCCAGAGCATGGATAGAGCACACTGCGTACCCATTCACCATTTGGTAGATATTTGGATTGCTTCCAGTTTGGGGCTATTATGAGTAAAGCTACCCTGAGCATCACATACACACAGAGATGTGTGTTTCAGGTTCTCTTGGTAAATTCCTAGGGATGGAATGTGTGGGTTGTACCCTTACCGTGTAGGCATGCTTTGTAAGAAAGTTGCTTTTTAAGTGTGATTTAACTTTACGATATACTTGCATAAATTTTTCCAAAGTGGCTGTACCGTTTGTGTTCTCAAGTTCCTCCACATCCTCACCAAAACTTGGTATTATCATTCTTTTTTTTTGCGTTTTTGCCCATCTCATGAGTCGATAGTATATTTCACTGTGGTGTTTTGTTACAATTTGCATTTCTGGGACGACTGGTGATGTTGAGCATCTTTTCATAGGCTTACTTGTCATTTATATAGCTCCTTTTGTGAAGTATCTGTTCATTATTTTGCCCATTTTATTAGGTGGCTTGTCTTATTTATTGAATTGTAACAGTTCTTTGTATATTCCATATACAAGCCCTTTCTAAATAATGCGTTTTGGAAAAAATTTCCTGCCAATTTCCCATGGGCTTATTCTTGATAAGAGTTGGTGATCTGGTGTGTGAAGAGCCCTGTGGCCATGCTTCTCCCTCGCCATTCCTTCTTGGGCAGATTCCTTCCCCTCTGTGAGCCTCATTTCTTCATCAGTGAAATGGAACAAAAAACCTATTCTGCCTTCCTTGTAGCGTCGTTAGGGGCCTGGGAAGAACTGTGATCATGAAAGCATTTTGTAAACTCCTCAGACCTATAAGCAGGTTAACGGAATTGTCCAGCTGCTGTTGAATACTCAGTTCTGTTGGTGTTGATGTCCTCGGGCTGTCCATTATCTGGAAGGGACAGCAGGTGCAGGGCAGCCAAGCCTCAGTCAGTCATGGGTGGATGGCTGAGGAGGGAGGCAGATGGGAATTTTGAGGAGAGGCCCCCCTGGGCTCCAAGAGGAAGAAGGTGGCGAGTCCTGCCACCAGCATGTCCCGAGTGTCTCCTCTGTAATAGACACTGCCCCACACTGGGAACACAACTGGGACCCTCAGAGACCCCCCAGCCCAGTGGGGGCAACCAAAGAGTGAATGATGGTTGAAAAGCCGGGTGAGACATAGCCTGACAGAAGCAGCGCTGCCCAGATCTCAGCAGAGGTCTTGATCCTGTTTTGAAGGAGGGTCCCGGAAGGGCTGATGCTCGAAAGGTGGAAAGGAGTCAGCCAGGCAGAAGGAACAGCATGTGCCAAGTCATATGGGCCAGCCCAGCTTCTGCCCTGGTGGATCCTCGTGCTTTGCAGAGCCCCAGTGGTGGCCACTGGGACCCCCATAACGTCTGGTGACATGGTTATTGTTTCCAGGATCACGCTGAGGAGGCTGAGGCTGAAGTTGGGTGCCCCTTTGCTGGTGTTGGCTGCTCCTACAAGGTAAGCGTCTGCGTGTGAGAAAGGAGAAGGGTCCACTACAGTCCCAGAGCTCCCAGATTTTCCCACAACACCAAGCTACTCCTCCTGGTGCCCCTTACATTAATGGCTCTTCAGAGCAACAAATCCCACTAGTAAATCATCTCCATACCGGAGGAAGTTCTTCTGAATGTCTCACCTGAGCACTGTAGCATCCCTAAAATAGGTTCCCCCCACCTCCCCTGCCCCTCTTCGTGGTCCTGAATTAGCACTGCTCTCACGGGCAGGGCAGAATTGTTGCTCCAGAGACTGGGACGCCCACGGCTCACCCTGGGCGTGTCTGATGCCCGGGTCCTCATCCAGATCCCTCTTGCGACACACAAAGCATCTTCCCTTTTGCTGGGTAAATGGACCTGACTTCCCTTGGCAGCCGTTGGGTAGCCGGACTCTCCCCCACTCGCTGGTTCTCCTCAACCTCCTCGGTTTTCACTGACCAACCCCGCTCTCTTGGCAGGGGAGCTCAAAGCTCCTGCAGGAGCATGAGGTCACCTCCCAGACCACCCACCTAAACCTGCTTTTGGGGTTCCTGAATCAGCGGAAGGCCCAGCAGGGCGCGGGCCTGGGCTCTAGGCCCATGGCCCTGGAGCAGAATCTGTCAGACCTGCAGCTGCAGGCAGCCGTGGAGGTGGCAGGGGACCTGGAAGTGGACTGCTACCGGGCGCCCCGCTCTGAGAGCCAGGACGAGCTGGCCCTGCAGCACTTCATGAAGGAGAAGCTCCTGGCTGAGCTGGAGGGGAAGCTGCGCGTGTTTGAGAACATCGTCGCTGTCCTCAACAAGGAGGTGGAAGCCTCCCACCTGGCTTTAGCAGCCTCCATCCACCAGAGCCAGCTTGACCGCGAGCATATCCTGAGCTTGGAACAGCGGGTGAGCGTGGGAGGCAAGCTCCCCTTTAAGGTGGGCTCCGGGGGTGGGGGGGGCCTTGGCCCTGTCTTATCTCCAGAGCAGTGGACCGGCAGCCTTCCTTCTGAGCATTCTCCCTGCTCCCTCACCCCCCTCCCCTGCCGCCATCAAAAAGTATCTGTCCTGTGTTCCAGGACCCTCTAGGAAAAGCACTGAATCCCAGTTATAGTCAAGGTCAAACTCCCCCATCCAGTGTGCTTCATTTCCTTTGCTTGAAGTTCTCCTGTGATAGGATACCTCCCTTCCCAAGCATTTCATTCCACTGGGGGACATTTTTCACAATGAGAAAGTGCTTCCTTATACGAAACTAAAATCAGCCTGTCTCTGTCTTCCCGGCATTGTCCCTGGCCCTGCGTTTCCGGGCCCCCTTAACAAATCTACCTTCCAGGCCCTGTGGCAGCCCTTCCAGGAGAAGCAGTCACTGAGTATTTCCTTCTGGAAGCTCGGCACTTGCAGTGCCTTCACCCCTTCCTCAGAGCACCTGGCTTCACGCTGCCCTTGTAGGCTCTGGCTCAGTCTCTGAAGGATTCTACACACTCGGAGGCGGGGTCCCGGACCAACTCCAGATAATCCGGCTGTCTGACAGTTCCTAGTTGAGCAGGACCATGCCCTCCCTTGTTCCAGAGTTTATACTTTTCCTAATATAACCAGTCACCATGCTAATGCTGCTTTTTTTTTTTCTGTCCAGCAACATTCTGTCACTGCCTCATGTTGTGTTGGGCCTGGATTTTAGGTCCAGCTCCACTGTTAACTTGCTGTTGTGGGTCTGGGCAAGTGACTTCCCCTCTCAGAACTTCAGCTTTCCCATCAGGAATATTAGGGATTCAGTTTCCTCTAAGGACACCCACTTCCATGCCTGCCTTCCCGACCTGAGCATGCCCAAGAATAAGTCCGTTTTTTCAGATATCAATGCGGGGAGCGTACCAGAAGAGCAAGGCAGTGGGTTTGAGTGACCGAGTAAAGCCTTTATTCATGTAACTCTTGCCTCAGTGAGAAGGTGGGCCCCTGAGGCCAGCAGCCGTGTCTCTAGTGCATCAAGAACCTTCCTGGCTCTAGTCACTCACGCGTCGTGCGAGGCCTGGAGGCAGAGAAAATGAGCATGGGCCCAGCCTTCGTTAGGGGAAACCATCTCCCTGGTAGGAAGGGCCTAAAGATGTACCTTAAGAAACTGCTGGAAGTGCCCTGCAGAACAGCGCTGAGAGGGACCAGCAGGGCTGGGGCAGTAGTGGGAGGCTTCCCGGAAGAGGGCTGTGTAAGCCAGGCTCCTGATGGATAAGGAGGAGTCGGCCAGGGGAGAAGAAAGGCCACGGAGGTCCAGGCAGGAGGGACAGCAGGGACAGAGGCAGATACGCGTGCCCGAGGGAGGCATGGTCAGAAGGCATATTGGGGGCAATTCTATCTCCGTATCCTACCGTCCCCACCCTGTCCCCAAGCTGTGCTCTGGGGTCCCTGGCTGAATGGGCTTTCCCGCAGGTGATGGAGCTGCAGCAGACCCTGGCTCAGAAAGACCAGGCCCTGGGCAAGCTGGAGCAGAGCCTCCGCCTCATGGAGGAGGCCTCCTTCGATGGCACCTTTCTCTGGAAGATCACCAATGTCACCAGGCGCTGCCACGAGTCAGCCTGTGGCAGGACCCTCAGCCTCTTCTCCCCAGGTACCAGCTCCCCAGGGGCTCAGGCCAGCAGGGGGCTGCAGGCTTCCCTGGGCCCGGGAAACCAGCAGGGACAGCGGCCACGCTGGGGTCGTGGAGGTGGCAGGCTCCCCGCTCAGCCACACGGAGCATGGGCTGTTTGAACCGGGCACGCCTTCTGCCTCCCTGACGTCAGTCGTATTCTGCAAATAGGAATAAGATTGTTGTCTGCTTCATGTGGGTCTCAGATGTGACAGAGAGAGTGCTCTGAGCCAGAGCTTGTGGAAATGAGAGGTGTGCAGAGGATGCTCCCCATAGGTGCTTACCGTAGGACCCCTGCCCTCAGAGCGCTGGTGGTCCAAAATAAGGCCAGTGGAGAGTGAAGTGAAATGTGCGGTTGTAGATCGTGAGTGGCATGTGAGTGAGTGCTGTGCAAATCCGTGAAGTTCTCATTCATTGCTGGGGCCCCCGGGCCTGGCGCAGTGTCATGCAAGGCATAGTTACTCAGGAGATGTTTCTCTTGTTTTTTGGTTCTTTAAAAGATTTTACTTATTTATTTGAGAGAGGGAGTGAGCGAAAAGCGAGAGCACATGAGCAGAGGCAGAGGGAGAAGGAGAAGGAGGCTCCCCACTGAGCAGGAAGCCCGACGCAGGGCTGGATCCCAGGACCCCGGGATCATGACCTGAGCCCAAAGGACTGAGCCACCAGGCGCCCCAGTAGATGTTTCTCTTAATTAATTGGTCTCCATTGATGTAACGACGTGTATATTTGTGCCTAAAATTCTCAGACCTGCGTGCTTGTCCTCTCCTCTCACACATGCGCATCTAAGTAAGCGGGTGGACTGTTAGGAGGATCTGCTGATGACGATTTGAATAGCCTCGCGCATTTGCCTGGGCTTCATACCCTTCCTGTCCATCAGCTCCTCTGACCCACCCCCCACCAGCGGGGCTGGGATCCACTTAGGCACTGGCGTTTGCCGCAAGCCGCAGAGCAGGGCTGGCTCCTGCAGCCGGGCCCCTGTCCTTGGGAGCAGCCCCCTTCATGGGGTGGCCTCACCTCCTCCACAGAGCCCCCCCCACCCCGCCCTTCTTTCCAAAGAGGAAAAAAAGAAGCAGTGTCTCTGACTTCCTGTTCTACCAAGATGTAAGGGGACAGATGAGTCAGACTGTCAGCCCGTCCTTCCTCCACCTCTTCCTGCCTGCTTCCCCAGCCTGTCCCCTCCCTCAGCCCCTCCCAGAGGGGCCCTCACACTGACAGCCACTGGCCCCCACACTTGGATGGCCCCTTCAGCTGCCGACGTGCGTAATCAGCGGGGATGATTCATCCCCCGGGGGCCTTTGCCAAGGTGGCTCCCCCAGCTTCCAGTGCTTGGGGCCGCTTGGCCTAGGGCCGCAGAAAGAGGTCAGTGTTGTGAGGCAGGAGACTGGGCCCAGCCACTTCCCCTCGCTGGGCTTGGTTTCCCCACTGCAAAGTGCAGGTTGGTTAAGTCAAAAGTGGGGTGCCAGGGCCAGCAGCATCACTGTCCCCTGTTAGAGATGCACGTCCTCAGGCCTCGCCCGGCACTTGGGAGTCAAACTCCGGTCCCGGCAATCTGTGATGCGGACGGCTGGTTGACAGCCACCAGGCCAGATGATCTCCAAGAGCCCGGTTGGTCCTCCTTGACGCTCTAGAATTGAGACGAGCGCTGCGCTCCAGCCCCAGATTGCTTAGTTTTGAGCTGCTGACCTTGGGCGTGCCGGTTACCTGGTCAGCGCGGGCGACACGGTCCAGCTCCCCCGGTGCTGACTCCGCCTTCCACACTTCAGCTTTCTACACTGCCAAGTACGGCTACAAGCTCTGCCTGCGTCTCTACCTGAACGGGGACGGGACGGGGAAGAGGACCCACCTGTCGCTCTTCATCGTGATCATGAGAGGGGAGTACGATGCTCTGCTGCCCTGGCCTTTTCGGAACAAGGTACGGGCCGGGCGGGGGAGGGGGCGAGCCCGGGGCCTGGTCCTGTCTGCATTTTCAATTTCACCTTTTATAAAACAAGAGCCTGAGTCCACATCTAGTACCCATGGGCGTCATGAGTCCAGGGGCTAAAATGCCTGGAGCAGCGCCCCAGGAAGGCACGTAGCAATGAAATTCACACCGTGGGGTAAATAAGGAGAACTGCCTGGAGGAGGTGCTGCGGGGCCAGTGTGAATTGGAGAAAGGGAAGGAGGCAGCTACCACAACACCGCTCTGAGAATGGCCAGAACACCGACAACGCCAGATGTTGGAGAGGGTGCGGAACAGTCAGAACTCTCGTTCACGGCTGGCTGGAATGCAAGACAGAAGAGAGTTTGGCAGTTTCTGACAAAACGAAACATACTCTCGCCCTGTGACCCAGAAGCCACCCTCCTTGGCATTTACCCAGATGAGCTGAAAACTTTGGTTCTCAAGAACCTGCACACAGATGTTTATAGTAGCTTCGTTGAGAATTGCCAAAGCTTGGAAGGAGCCAGGGTGCCCTTCCCTGGGTGAGTGGATGCATGAACTGCAGGGCGTTGAGACAGCGGGATACTGTCAGTGCTAGAACGACACAAGCCAGCAGGCCGTGGAAAGACCTAGAGGACCCATAGAGGCCTATCCCTGAGTAAAAGAAACTGGTGTGAAAAGGCACGCACAGCACCATCCCAGCTCTGGGACGTCCTGGGAACGGCACTCTGGAGACCGGGAGAGATCGGTCGTTGCCAGGGGTCGAGGGGAGGCAGAGCACAGCGTATTTTTAGGGCAGTGAAACTCTTCTGGGTGCTCTAATTCTGGATACGTGTCATCACACATTTGTCCAAACCCAGAGGATGAGCGCACAGCACTGAGCGTGAACCCGGAGGTAAACCGTGGACTGCGCTTGTAGCAAATGCACCACCGTGGTGCGGGATGCCGGCTGTGGGGGAGGCTGCGTGGGAAATCTCTACAGTTCCCATTTGCTTGTGCTGTGCACCAAAAACTGCTCAAAAAAACACAATCTGTTAAAAATATTTAGAAGGACGACAGGAGCGGGGAGGCGAGGCCTTCCCTGCAGGTGAACCGGCAAGGGGGGAGGGGAAGGAAGGGGTGGAGGGAGAAAAGAGCAAACAGGTGCGGCAGGGTGGGGATGCCACAGTGGTCTGGGTATGAGTCACTAGGTCAGTGGTTCCCAGGCCTGCCAGGGAGGGTTTTAAAATACCCAACGGCTAGGTCTCACTCCAGTACGTGGTGAGACCTGAGCGTCAGGGTTTTTAAAACCTTCCCAGGGCCTTCTAAAGTGCAGCCCAATCTGAAAACCACTGTGGTCGGCTGTGAGTGTCTCAGGGACATGTGCCAGAGAAGGGGGTCTGTGTCGCTTTGAAATCCTCGGCTTCTTGGGGTACGCATTCGTGTTTCGGGACACGGATTGACAGCCCCTCCGGAGAAGGCCTGTCTGTTCTTGTCCCTCTGCCTTGTCCCAGGAGATCCCAGCTGTAGTTGATGGATGAAATGTTCCAGAGCAGGAAGGGGCATCATAGGTTATGGAGTCTGGCCTCCTTGTCAGTGCCTGGTCCCACCTTTAGCCCCCACCATCCAACCAGAGTTGACTGTGGCTCTGAATTCCCCCCTTCCTGGTGGAAAGAACATCTGATCCCTACTGGCAGGGCAACCCTGGAAGACTTCCATCTCAGGGGGCCTTGCCACACGCCAAACGCGGTCCTTACGTTGTTTCTTTGACTCTTAATCAGCCTGAGCTGGGGTCAGAGGGGCTGTACGGGGGTCCCTCGGTGCTGCCGCCCAGGGCCTGACCACCCCACCTGCCCCCTGCCATGCAGGTCACCTTCATGCTGCTCGACCAGAACAACCGAGAGCACGCCATTGATGCCTTCCGGCCTGACCTGAGCTCAGCGTCCTTCCAGCGGCCCCAGGGTGAGACCAATGTGGCCAGCGGCTGCCCACTCTTCTTCCCCCTCAATAGGCTGCAGTCGCCCAAGCATGCCTACGTGAAGGATGACACCATGTTCCTCAAGTGCATCGTGGAGACAAGTGCTTAGGGCGGGGAGGGCCGTGCCAGCCGCACCTGACTCCCGAGGGAGCACCAGAGTACACTGGGGGGCATTAGTACAATGACTGAGGTCCTGTCCGTGGCGCCCAGGATCCCGGGGCACCGTGATGGGCCGGCCCGGCATGATCTGAGCGGGACTGACTGACCATGGCTGGCCGTCAGCTTCGGCGGCGGCAGGGCCCCCGGGCTGGGCCCACAAAGGTCCAGAAGGAGGCGGTAGCAGGATTGTTGTCCTCTACGCTGACCACAGGACATTGGAGTCACTCCAGCCCTGCATGTTGAGGCAGCCTGTGACCAAGATGGGGAGGGAAGAGGGACCGGGCCTGGGGCATGGAGGGTGAGCATGGGGAGGAGGAAAGAAGCTCTCTGAGCAGGGCAGCTCTCTGGACAGGAAGGTCTCTGTACTGGGGTGGGGAGGGCGGGGTGGCATCAAGTTGGGACTTGGGTTTGAAGACCTTGAGGTTCCTTCCAGCCCAGAAAGCCTCCAGGTCTGGGCCTCCTGGTGCAGGAGAGTCCTAGGGCTGCAGGGGTGCTAGAAACATTCAGGAGCCTCGTGGCCTCCAGGTTCCTCTGTCACCTTCAGGGCCACCCCGTGGCCGAGCCAGCCTGCGCAGCACCTGCCACCCCGGGTCTGGCAGCCCCGTTCCCCAGCATGGGGGGGCCGCGCGGGCCCATGCTTCTGCTGGGAGGACTCCCCTGCACCTCCTCCAGGTGAAACCAGGTCCCTCAGCTCCCAGGAGCAGCGACAAGAAAGGTGGAGGAGGGGGCCATAAACCCTCCGCTCGCCCTCCCTCAGAGGCCCTACCTTCGGCGCTTTCCAGAATCTCATGTCACCTAATTAACCGAGGTATTTCCTTCTTTCAGTTGACTGATCAGGGCCTCTGAGCCACTGAGCAGAGGTTGTCCTTTTAAATATGTATAAAACCAAAGAAAGAGATTGTTTAAATTTCTGTTGTGGTTTTCATGCACTGCCTGATGGTGGGAGTTGGTTTGAACTGCGCCAAATTTGAAAAGCCCATTGCCAAGTCCTGGGTGGTGGTGTGAGTCTCGCAGAGGACGCCGCCCGGCCCGCAGGAGCATCCCCTCCAGGCGCCGGGCTCCTCTTCTCTGTGCTGGGGAGAGCCTCCCCAGCCTGCCTCCCGTGCTGGGTCCTGAGAACCGCAAAGGGGATGCCACACCTAAGAGGCTGCTTAGAGCCCCAACATTGCTGCCCGCCTGGCCTCGCCTGGCCTGGCCGTGGCCCACACCTGTTTTCCCGCCTTGCAGGCCTCACACAACCAGTTCCTGCAGGGACCTTCCCCCGGCTTCCCAGAGACTGAGGCTTCGTGTGGCCGCCTGGGGCTCCAGCTCAGGACCTCACTCCTCTGCCCACCAGCCTTCCTACAGCTTACTCGCCCCTCCGCTTGCAAGGCTGCAGTAGATTTCACTTCTCACACCTTCAGGGTTCTCATCTGTAAAATGGGTCAGCAGCCCTGCCCGTTCTCCCTAGCACAGCACCTGTCACGTATCAGAAAACCCAGATCCAACCTGGGCCCAAACGTGGTATCCCGTTGTGCCTGAGCCTCTTTATTTGAACACAGGGGGCAGCCCCCTCCCCAGCCCTGCCCAGCTCATGGGGTTTTCACGAGGCCCAAATACAACAAGGGAACACACTAGTGCTTTGCGCCGAGGCACCTTGCCAGGCGTGACAGGCTGCAGACGTGTCAGGGCTTTTCCTCGCCCCTGGTGCTGACAGGCAGCCGGCAATAGAGACAGACCTGCTTCCCCTCGACAAGTGGGAATAACAAGCAAAGGTATGGCCCAGCAAGTTCTGGGAGCTTCTGCCTCCGCACCGGTGTCCTGGCAAATCCATCTTCATCCCTGCTCGCTGAGTGCTGAGCTAATGGGATTGAGGACAAGCTGCTACTAAAGATGATCGTTACTCTCGCCTTTGCTCGCTGGTTTCCGATGGGAAGACACATACTTGCTTCTAACTGGGAGTCACAGCCACTGTTCCAACAAAGCCTTACTGAGACGCAGCTGTCACCCACTGGCTAGACACTAGGGAGGAAATGTAAGACGTGCACCCCACCCGCAATAACTCTTAGTTCAGTGCAGGAAGCAGGTCCATAAGTAGATCGTTGAGACTGATAGGGAAGAGTAGCTCGGAGAGAGCACCGGATCCCAGATCCACTGGGTGAAGCAGGGAGGGAGGGCTTCACGGAAGAGGTGACATTTAAACTCAGCCTTAAAATATTTTGAGATGCAGAGAATCGGGGTGTGGGGGAGAGGAAAGACCCCAAGGTAGGGAGCAGTCTCGGCTTCGGGTGGGGTGTGTGAGGCAGAAGCATGGAGGGGAAGGGGAAAGCATATCGAAGGCATCAGGAGGGGTCCAAGCTGCCTGAAAACGGGACATGGGGGGCTGAGGGGGCTCAGATCACCTGCAGGTGGTCCTTTGGGCTCTTCGCAGCAGGATGAGACAATGAGTTCAAACATTTACCGATGCATCTTCCAGCAAAGCCCACAGCGTTCCAGTGATTCCAGGGGAGGGAAGGCAAGACAGAGGCCAAGCCACCGTTTCATCGGATCCTCACTACTTCCCTGTGAGGCGGGCGGCGCAGAACCCCGTCGTAAGGACCGGGAAGCTAAGGCCAAAGAAGCCAGGTGCCTCGCCCACGGTGAGGTGGGAGCAGGGCAGACAGCTGGAGTTAGAAGTTTGTTATTTTCCTTCCCCTTCAAGCTTCCTTTTGGCTGAAGTCTGTGTCTGCTGGTGTATTGAGGTCACGTCCTCACGGAGGCCTCGGGAGGCAGCGGGTCCCTCTGCCGCCCACAGAGGGCCAGCCCTGCAGCCACCACCGCCCCCCCCATGCCAACCCCAACCGCCCCTGGGAGGAGAGGGTGAGCGTGGTCAGCACCCAGCACGTCTGCCCACAGGCGCCTCGTTGTGATTCTCTGACAGCCCTGAGCGGTACCCACAGCCGCTTTTTATGCCTCTCGTTGCTGGGTGCTTACTGTGAGAGACACATTGTAGAAAAATCAGGGGGAAGAAAAGTACAATATAGGAAGAAATAAGCCACCCATGAGCCCAGTGTCCAGAGGGACTAGGGACATCTTAGTAAATTTTCTTTGTCTTTTTGAAACAGTGGATACAAACATACACATAGACTTTTTTTGTTTGTTTTGAGAGAGAGCACGTGAGTGGGGAGGTGCAGAGCGAGAGGGAGAGAGGGAACCGTAAGGGTCCACGCCCAGCGCAGAGCCCAACTCGGGGCTCCATCCCACAGCCCTGAGATCACGACCTGAGCCGAAATCAAGAGTTGGCTGCTTAACCAACTGAGCCACCAAGGCGCCCCCACACGCATAGACTTTTTAAAATGCGATGAAAATCATACCAATTACAGCTTTACGCTCTCCTGTTTTCATGGACATCCCATCATAACATTTTGCCTCTTTTTGTAGGCAAAGGCACAGAAACTAAGGGAAAGCAAGTAGCTCACTCAAGGCCACTCCAGATAAGTGGTGGGATAGGGACTCACACTTCTGGTGTGATTCGCACTCAGATGGAGAAACAGCCACAGACAAGGGGAGTGACCCACATGAGGTTGCATTCCTCCTGAGGGGTGAGCCCCCACCAAAGGTCTAGACTCTTCTCTGTCCTGCATCCGGTGCCCGGCAGGGTTCGGGGAGATCCCAGGAGAGGATTTTCTTTGTGGGTCTGGAAGAGACAACAGGTCCCAAAGCTGGTGGACAGGACACCATGCCCGCAGCCTGGGCCGGGGGAGAGTGAACCATCCTCTGCCTTCAACAGCTGAACCCCAGCAGAGCAAACAGGGCATGCTCTCCCCTACTTCCCCCTGCTTCCCTGCTGACCTCGAGAGCAGAGACTGGCTAAGCCTCGGTTTCCATCTCTGCCCCGTGGGTTCTAACAACCCCACTGTTGTGGCAAGGGTGTCAGGGTCGCAGAAACCACTGGCTTTGGGCACTGTGGGGTCTCCGGTCAAATAATAATAGAAACAAGGATCCCCAACAGCCATGAAATGCCTGGCTGCATGTAGCCCTTCAGGACCTTGCGGAAACCCCACGAGGAAGCATGGTGATGATCTTCCCCGGGGTGATAGACAAGGAAAGCCAAGCTCTGAGGAGTAAAAACCACACCCCCAAGGTCACACAAGGGCCAGGAGTCAGAACTTGAACCCAGATCAGTCTATTCAAGCTCCAAACCCTTCAGTCCAGTGACTTGATCTGCATAATGTTGTGGAAATGGCACCGCAAGGTGAGATCCAGTTTTAGTTCTGCACAGACTGCAAATTGATTTTTTAAACAGCCCTGACAAAATGATGAGAGCTGTCACTTATTGAGCACCTGCTTGCTTTACTTGCAAGCACCACGCTTAATACTCATAACTGGCCTGGGAGGAAGTATCCTTTTCTTCACTTTACAGATGGAGATACAAGTTCAGAGGGGCCAGGCAACTTCCTCAAGGTCACACAACCAATAGGCAGATCTCTGCCCCCGCAACCAGAGGCTTTGCCCATTGTCACGTCCTCTCCAGTGCTTTGGGGAAGTGGGAGAGGGTCAGACAAATGAGAAGTGATGGGTCTTCTGGACCGGCTGCCAGCCTTTCTTCTCCAGGGGCAACCCCCCCACCCTGCGGCACCACAAGGGTGGAATTGTCAGGCCACGGGAAGGAGAAGGATGAAGTCAGGGGCCGGGGGGCCGCTGGTATGTCAGTGACCCTTTGCCAGGAGCTGGACCTCACTTGCCACCTCCACATCGGGGACATGTGTGTGTTAAGCAACACAAATTCATGTGGTCCAGAGCTTGGGGGGCCATTCCAGAGGGGGCTGGGCTATTACACTCATCTGGGCCAGGACTTTCTTCCTTCTCGGGTCCTTTCCTCAATCCCCACCCATCTCATGGCATCTTCCTCCTCAGAAAACCTGCGGTGTATGGTGCTGATGTCGTAGCTGTTAGGGCTGACTGCCGTGCAAGCAGGAGGTCAAGGTCACTCAGCAGGTTGGTGGCTCGGGGTGGCGGCCGGTGGTTCCTCTCTTGTGGAGGAGGTCAGCTCGGCCCTCGGCCCTCCCTGCCTGCCCTGCGGACCCTGTCACCTCGCCCTGGGACAGTGGGCTCCCTTCTAGCCGCGAAGTCTCCGTTCTCTTTGTACAAGTGAAAAGGAGCTCAGAGGAGAAAAGTGACTCACTCGGGGGCACCCAGCTGCCAAGAGGCAGAGCCTGCCTGGGACCTGGGTCTTCTGCCACAACGCCCAGCCCTTCCTCCTGCACCCAGTAACTTGTTGGTATCAATACTGAAGATTCTCTTTATGGAAACAACTGATGTCTATCCCCACTCCCACTCCCAAGCACAGCTCCATCTGTCAAGAAATCCCAGGGCCAGCAGTGGGGTGGAATCCGCCTGGGACTCAAGCATCTGGGACAGCGGTTGAGAAAGCTCTTTTCCGCTGCTACTGTCCTCCCACGGATGTCTGGTGGGGCCGGGTGAGTGCAATGAGGTCTCTTAGAACCCCCAGGACCAGCGGAATGTCCAGTGTCCAGCCTCCCCAGGACTCCACACTCTTGCTGCGGGATCTTGGGCCAGGCACCTGCCATCTCTGAGCCCATTTTCCCATCTGCACGGTGGACAGGTAGGTGGTGATGGATACAGGCCTCCAGCTCTGATCAGGTTGGATTCTGGGCACAAAGAGTCTGACTGAGAGAGGCCCCCTTCCCATGGGAATCTTCGGTGATAGCTTTTCGAGGCCCTGGCCCCTGCTTCTTGAGGACCTAAGGATCTGGCCCTGTCTGCCCTCACAGGGCCATGGTCAGGGCATCCCCACAGCACATGAGCTGGATTCCCTCGTGATGGGTCAAGGAGTGCAGACCACTTAAGACTCACACCCCAAGCCTCACACTTGCATTTGGTCAGGAGTACATGTGTTGGAGTCCAGCAGTCCTGTTGAAGTCCTGGCTCT